CACTTTCTTCAGCATCCTGTGATCCTTCTAAAAAGCTTATTATCAAATTTTTGATATTAATTTAATAATAATTTCTAACAAAAGAACATGATAATACATGAAGTCCCAAAAGATATTTTTTTTACGTGCGACTTTCTCGAATGTCCTACAATCCTGTTACAAAATTTAATTCGTAATAATGCAACACCTTTTGTTTAGTATTTTTAATAACTAGTTTTATTAATCTACTGTACAATAGTATCCTATTTCGTATTTACGTATATACAAACATACGGTAGATTTTGTTGTAAAAGTTACCTCTTATAGGTTTTACCATAGAAGTTGCACGTTTGTTTCTCTCTTCATCCAATTATTACGCATGTTTATTATAACGATGACGAATAATGATTATGATGTATTCATTATTTGTGTATCCTATGTATGTATGTGTAATAAATGTACACACATATGTGTATCATATATACAATAGAAGAAGTGGGAACGCGAGTGTGACAATATTTCCAATATGGGATTTATAATATAATGATTGATACACTTTCAACTTATGTTTCTTATTTATATTGTATATGAATATAACAACAACCAAAAAAAAAAAGAAAACACAAGAAATTTAATTAAGTAGGAAGAATATAAATGAGCAAGAACAATGTATGTAAACCCTTTCGTACCGCATGTTTTAACATGAGTATCATACCATATAAATTCACTCATATATATATATATGTATCATCGAATAGGATTCCTATATGAATTTCTATGGAGCCCCTAAGCATGAACGCTAATAACGAAAGGATTTATTAGCTACGATTATTAATTAATCGAGTGTTATCACGCAATTTTATTTTTTACATGGTTTCATCGAATACCACGAGAAATCCCATGATGAATAATAAATACACACCCACATCATCGTGTATGTCTTTCTCCTTTGGTTTATATTTCTTTTTTTGTACTGATCGCGGATTGAATTCGCACGCGTTGTATATGAACAATAATAATCATTGTATTATTTTACACACCCACACACACACAAGCACATACGAACTCTGCTTTCTCAATCTCTTTCTCTTCTTAATTATATTAATTATATCTTAATTACATATCTCGTTATTTTTTTTTCCATAATTGGATAGATATCACGAAGAAGATTATATTAAATTCATCATACAATTTTGTTCTTTAGATCACAACGTGTGAATTTGTTCGACAATTTGTGTTTTAATTTGTTCAGCATGCACAATATGCATTAAATGTAATGAATAAAATGTATATGTATCTGTGTATGTATATGTTATTTTATTCAGCTATTTTTCAAATCAAAGCTCATCAATTGAAGAAGATGCTGTTTTTGATAGAATTGTTTAAGAGAATTTATTCACGTATTTGCTAAAAAATTTCTTCAAGGTACTGAACATATAAGCTCTAACTATTATAAATATTCTTATTCTTTTCTCTTAACTCTTTCTTCTTCTTTTTCCTATTTCTTTTTTATTTTTAGTTCTTCATATCTTCATTTTGACCATTTTTATGAAATGCTCGCAATTCGATAGTACTTTGCGGTCTAATTATTATTAAAACAATACAGTATTATCACTTCACAGCGAGTACATAATGTAAAATGCATATGTATGTGTGTGTGTGTGTGTATTTGTGTTTGTATATTTATACATATAACTTGTAATTTTAAATTTCTAATACTTAAGATGAATTGTGCATACGTGTATATTTTATTGGATCGATAATATTTAAAATAATCGCTAATTGTTCTTACTTTTTTTCTTTTAAACTGACAAAAATGGTTTTTTTGGTCCTTCTCCAGATATTTTTAAATCGAATTCATGTTTTCCAATTTGAAATGTCCATTAGAATATCACAGAAGAAATTATAAACGTATACGTAAGAGAAACTAATTTAAACACGGAGTATAATAAAATATTTCGTACTGCTAATTTAAAAAGTAGTCATGGAGAAATATTGTCGTTAAAAAAAAAAAAAAAGCCTATTAGAAATAAATTACAAAATATCCGAGAGATAGCGGAATAACGTAACTCTAATAATTATTTTTTATTTCACTTTTTAGAGCCCTTTTTTTTGGTTTCTTTTAACACTATCAGGGATAAATATTGAAACCAATGTTTGCAAATGCAATAGCAACACAAAAATCTTAACCAAAATCTACAACGATTGTTTTTAGGATTTTCCATTGTTCATTTTTCATCGTTTCAACGTATTGTTATAATAAAAACGCACAGCCAGTAAAAAATAACGTGACGAGTAAATACACATTAGATATCAAACAATTCGAGTTGAGATCTTAGACAAGTTTTTTGTTTCTATTTAGAGGAAGATTATTTTATGAGCATCATGATTCATATCTCATGGTAAATTTTTAAAAAATATAATTAACGTAATATATATATATATATATACTATACAAATATTATCCCGAATATTCCTTTTTTTTCTTTTATTTTTACACCATTTGATGGTTTGATTAAATGGAAACAAACGTACATTAATAATAAAAAGATACAAAAAAATAAAATAAATTTTGTTTGAATAAAATGGCAATGAAAATATACACGGCGTTGATTACAATATTAATTAATAAGTAGGATTTAAAATCTTTGGTTTACAATTCGTCCATACTATGTATGATTTAGAGAAAAATGTCTCCTTTTCGTTCTTCACATTTAATAATTAATTGTGATTAAAAGGGAGTTGAGTAAAAGTTAACTAGATAATAATAAACGTATATCACTTGTCATGAATAGTACGAGCATTGAAAATAGCATGAGAGAAAAAGATTCATGCTCACCTTTGCTAAATTTTACATTTTACATAGTAAAAGTCATACACTTTTTTTTCTTTTTCATTTCATTCATTCATTTATTCATTCACTCTCACATTCTAGCTCTCTCTCTCTCTCACACACACTTGTTAATAATTTCTCATCTAAAAATTTCTATTTTTACATTCACCAGTAACAGTCTTCAATTGTTCTTTTTCTTTTTTTTTTTTAAATATTCAATTTTCATATATATTATATATATCGTAATAGTAAAATTCTCTTTGCAACATTTAGCAAATGATGATTTTTTGTGTTTTTTTTTCCTTTTAAAACTAACACCGGCCTTTTCCCTATTAAAGTCTTGCGACTTTTTTCAACAACGTATAAAATGAATGCATAACATCGTGTTTGCATTTGGTATTAGCCTGTAAAAAAAAAAATAATAAAAAGAATGTGAATATATATTGCAAAATAAACAAAAAAAAAAAGAAGAAGGTTCATCATTTAAATATAATTATTTTCAATAGTACCATTTTGATGAAGCTTCGACCAAAGTATGCACACGGAATGTATAACAGATTAACATATACTAGAGATTCCATACGTCAAGCTTTTTTCAAGGACAATATGAAAATCGGTAAGTGGTTTAAGAATTTGTATGAGGAACGTCAATAGAGCTGGATTTCTCAAAAACGAATTCTCTTCGTACATGTCTGCAGTGGAACGTGCCACGCTCATAAGAGGCAACATGGGATGCAACAATTGTTCTCTAAACGTCAAATAACATAACATTTTTTTTTATAATAAAACGTTAATGCAAATCTTTTAATTTTTGTACAAAAACGAGTATTTTACCTTGTCGCCAAACAAATGAACAATTGAAACTTTCCATCTTTTCCCAAAGTTTGACTAAATATATTAATCTGATCGATAAGATGACAGTAACATCTCATTATAGGAAACTTCTGATTCATTTCTGAGTGTAGTTTTTTAATCCTATATTCATTCATTTCATCTAATAAAGATATTTCAAAGTCCTCTTTCACTCTTACTACAAGTTTTAATACAAATGAAAAAACACAATTGTTATAATAAAAATATATATATATATATATATATGTACTTATTTCCAAGAAAAATAAATAAATAGGGGTACTTACAGAAGTAGTCCCAAACGTATAAGTTTCTACCAAATATTCTTTGACTTTTAAAACCGGATAAAAAGATTTGTTCTAGAGAAGGTACGAGTCCACCTTCGCCACAAATTAAGGCAGTTAGAGAACTATCTTGGCACTCTCTTTTGTAATAATATTTAACTATCGCATTTACAGCTTCTCCTGTAACCAACAATTGTGCGAATAAAAATGTTCAAATTTACAAAGAAAAAAAGATGACGGAAAATAATGAAACAACAACACGTTTTGATTTGCTTACCAAGTATCTGTTGTAATTCAACTAGGGATAACACATTTCTCCTGGGTATACTTGGAGATCTACATCTTGGAGGAGTCGAACAAGATTCAACCAATTCTTCGTTATCAATACTATGTGGTACTAAAGCACCTACTAGCAATCTTTCAGTAGATCCATCATCTATGCCTTTACCAAGCCATCTTCCACAAGGAAATTTAAATGTATGTCCAGTAACTTCGTTTCTTACAACTACGTGTTCTACCATCCATCTAGGTGAGGGACCAGTGTTATCGTGACCTATCCGTAAAGTTGATAGGACGCCTAAGTTTTTATGCTAAATAAAATAAAAAAGAACAAAAAAAAAGAATTAAATTAACATTATGATAATAATTCAGTATTTTCTCTCGTCCAAAATTATAATTTTTTGATGATATTGGTTCATAGGGAACTTGGACATGAAAAGAAGTAGAACTTAATTTAGAAAACTAACGAAGTTTAGATGTATTGTGTTTGGAATATTATAAAGAGAAATGTATGTCGAAATAAATAAAAAAGACGCTGAGCTTTAATGATTAAGTTGCTGAAGAAGTCCCAATAAAGGGACGAAACGTCCAACTTAATTAAATTAAGTTCTACTTCTTTTCATGTCCAAGTTCCCTATGAACCTATATCATCAAAAAATTATGATAATAATATTATTATGATTCTTATTAAATGTAATAATATATACTTACGTGAAATACAAATTCTAATGCACCTTTAGGAATCGGTACAGGATTAGTTTCGCATAAAGTGCCAGAAATGGCGATCCAACTATGAGCAGATGTAGTTGCAGCACTTGCTTTACGACTAGGAAATATAACGACTCTGTACGGTAATTTGGTAGTAGGATAATTATTTGTAAAGCAAAAATAATCAACTGCGTTTAACGTCAATAAGTGATACAAAAATTGTTCCTTTTCTTCCTCGCAACGTAAAAATGCTGATCTTTTATATTGACCTCTAACAAATAGAAAATAATATTGAAATTAATCAAAAATAATTCATATAGATTTATTTCTCGTATTGATAATTAAACATTACGTACCTTAAAAGTTCTGTATCGGATAACAGTGTTTTCAAATGTCGAGATAATAATTTCTTTTCCAACGCTAATCTCACCCATGCTCTGGCGTATCCAATTTGCGTTTTAATATCCGTCATAGCTTGAATATTTCTAATATCAAAAATCAATGACTCAGGTAAGGGACGTAAATGTTCTGGTCCGACTGCTCTTCTTTCTCCAGGAGATTTGTGTTTATCCGTTAATCTCGTAGGTGATACGTCGGTCTCTAATGCCAGAGTGGACAAATCTAACAATTAAAAATACATTTTTATTATTATCTGTATAAATAAATCAATAAATAACAGAATATACAAATAAATTATTATTTTCAAACTAATACTCTTTCTGACAAACTATACTATTCGATTATAAAATTCATATATAAAAATATATGTTAATTTTGTAATAATCTTTCTTAATTATAAATATTTATTGTAGGAATAAAAATACAAGCAACATGCCTTGTGTAGACGAAAGGTTTGATATAATAATTTCATACATAAAGGGTAAGAATATCATGCTGTGACTAATTTCAAAAAACATTACTGATTTTTGTGAAGTAATAGACGATTACAAAAGACCAAGCTATGATACAATTAACAAATGAGGAATAAATGATAACTTCAATTATAATTGCAATGAAAAACGCATGCATGAACAAAATGATTAAATAAAAAGTATCTTAGTTTGATAAGACACATATCAAATCTGAAAATAATTGTATTAATAAATAATGAATTAGTATTGTTAGTCAAACTGTAATAATCCTTATGGCAAGCCAATGACAAGGCTTACCATTCAAATTCTCCTTGATATATGAAGCAATCAGAAAAATATTTCTGCTCTTTAAAGTTGCGATTAAACGATCCGGTAACCCAAAAAGTTTATTTGGTGATTTCTTGGGTACTGATAAAAATAAAATCAAAGTTAAAAAATAAAAAAAACATATTATGGGATGGGGGGAATGGTAGATGAGAAACGTGTAAATAAAGCATTCGTCATTTGCAAATAAATCAAATAAAATGTTTAAACTGTGCAACAAAATGGTGAACAAAATTACGATTAAATGGAACGACAGCAATAAGAAATATATTTTGTATATAAATCACTTACAACTAATAGTGCAGGGTATCTACGAATGAGAAACTAATCTCTACTTTAAACAGAGTTATTATCTTAAATAAATTTTTGTGACACGTACAATCGAGACGTTTCCGCAGCACGCACCACGCTAAGGCTGCATTTCCGGAACATCATAAAATGATTTATGACATTTTATAAAATAACAATTATATGACAAGTGTTTCATATATATATGTCCTTAGTAACATTTTGTAACATTAAGCGTATCATGAAATAAATGTGCCTTAACTTTCACAAGCAATTTAAATATTTTAACATAGCTCCCAAATAATCACACATATATATATATATATATATATATATATATATATGTATAGGGTGTCTGAAGTTTTTTTTATAAAACCATAAAAACACCCCCTGTATATAAATTATTTTTGATTATCGACACCCTTTGTGCACAGTAAAAAATGGTGCAAACACAATTAGCTATAGTATAAGCATCAGTGATGCAAGTTATACAAATAAATATATTTGTGATTAATGAAAATATCATTATTTATATTCTATTTCAAATTAGTCATTTTTAATTGAACTAATTCATTTTAATATATATATAAAAACCTCACCAAAAAATATGTTAATATAAGCATCACTGATAAATATAAGAAAAGTTCGTATATTTATTAGCACTGGTATATTATAATTAAAATATTTAAAAAAAAGAAATGATTAAAAAAATTCTGGTTATTTACAAAAAAAAATATATATATATATAATTTAGTTCTCGTTAAATATATATTTATATAATAAATCAGAAATAACTCACCAGGAGAAAGAAAGTTGGGATCTATAGTTTTATTAGTATCGTTACGTTCCTCCAATTCCTGATAAGTAGTCAGATGTGACCAGAGAGCACTTTTTCCTTGTTTGTTTTGTAACCCATGACTCCATATCCTCTCCAATAAATCACAGAGACTAGCAACTAATGTATTTTCTTCTACGTCAAACAGAGATTCTTTAGTGTGTCCTAATGCAAATGCTTCAGAACCCATTTTTTCGACTAACATTCTTTTCGTTTTAGATTTACAATCCTTTTCGTCAAATCAAACAAATAATAATACATAAGTATATGAAATAAATCGAATAATATTATATGTATTTCGTATAATATATGTGTGTGTAATAAATGATAGATTTTACCTTGAGTAATTTTTCAACAAAAGTCCAATTAGCTTGTGCTATTAATGCTGGACTCATATCTGCAGAGAGCTTAGTTTGTGGTCTTGGAGATTGAGATTCTTGAGGTGCTACCGTTTTCCCATTAGATTCCATAGATTTCATTTTATATTTCCACTGTGTCTGTCCTTTTCTACTACTACAAATAAAAAAAAAACTATTTAAAAACATAATCGTATTTTCAACATATAGATTATAAATAATAAATAAATATACGTTTTTTTCAATACGTATATTTGATGTAAAAAAATATTACATGCAATTGTAATATCAATATCTTACCGAAGAATACTATCGGAATAGCACAAAATAGAAAGGCAATCATTATTAATAATCTTATTCAATCTATATATATATAAAAGAATTAAATAAATAATATTTTCAATATTTATATATATATATAAAGAAAAATATACCTTTGTACAGGTTCTTTATTTAACGCGATAGAATCGAGTAATGGAAAACTTCGAAAATACGCAGCTCTATGTGGAACAATTTCGGTTGGCGGATTGGTTTCAAAATCTACGTTGGTTAATCTCTGTTCCAAGACTTTTTGAGTTTCAGACATACTCGTACACGTTTCGTAACGCGTCGATCTTATAATAGTTTCGCCAACTTCTTTCCTATAAAAAAAAATAAAAAGAAAATAAAGCATATCAATCTTTTGTTCCCATCGTAAATTTCAACGAGAAATTAATCAAAAAAGTTTGATAGAAAAATGAAAAAAAAAAGGATGGCTTACTTTAAAAATGTAATTCTGTCGTCAAAAACTTTGATATTATAATCGAGCTCGCTCCACGTTGACATAACTTTGCTATCAACCAAGGAAGCAAACATTTGAGTTTCTAAAAATCTTGATAAAAATGGTAGATGTTGGGCAGGTTGATCAGATAAAAAGGTAGCTTTATCAAACACATGCATACTGTCTCTGTTATTCAACCATTCGTCTTTATTTTGATTAGGTTGAATAACAAAATGTTCATAACTACAAAACATTTGTGCAAAACGATTCAAAAAAATCTCTCTAATGGCGTTATTAAAAATCAGGGTTTCTTGATATTCCTCTTGTGGCGTGAGTATTTTATCCGTAATGGTATCCTCCATGGAATCAATATCGTCTACATTTACACCTAAATACAAACACAGAGATCAAACATTTCAATAAATTCAAACAATTATGCATTTTTTAAAATGAATTATTCTTTTTTTTCCATTCTAAATTTTTACCCGTTCTCTTAACTATGTCAACGATTCGTTGAAAGGCATCAGTTTGCTGTGCGGAATCAGGTCTATCCCAATCTAAAACATCGTGTAACGAATGCTTTCTACGTGGAAGGTGAAAACCAGAACCAGGAAGAGTCAAGCTGCTAGTCATAATGTCACCATTGACATAGTTTATGAGCATATTATCAGTCCTAAAAAAGCAAATATTTCTTCATTCTTACAAATACGGAACGATGACATTTATATTTTATTCTAATTTTCATAGGAAAATGAAAAATGCGAAAAATACTGACGTACTTTCCCGTTAATGGTACTTTGTACTTATTTAAAAGTGCTCTAATTTCAGCAATAAACTGCATCTTATGCGGAAATACCGGTAATTCTTCCGGGAATTGGCTACTTTGTTTATCTATATCTACATAACAAAGATTTGCCTGTAAATCGAGTAATAATTTGTTTTTTTATTTCATTCATACCTTTTCATCAATTTTTGTTTAAACAGAAACAATTAATAAAAAAACAAAACAAAACATACTCACTTCGCTAGCAATTTTTAATACACCACCTTCGCTTTGCGCATGCAATCCCATAATAAATGGGACCGGTGCATCCAAGAAATGATGTAAACTGGCTGGTAATATGGGCACGTAAACGTGTTGCCAAGAAAAAGGAAACAAAAGGGCGGTTATGCATTCGGATACGATCATAAGTTTGTTGAAATCCGAGCTTCTGAGTAATACTTGATTTTCCAAAAGGACACAAGTGAACAATTGTATGACACAATCAGCCCCTAGCCATGTAAACATATCTTTCAAAGGATAATCCAACAAGGGTAATTCTCGCGATGGCTTTGGCTGATGTATCACTAATTCTAAGGGAGCCTTAGCTGGCTCGTCGTTTGGTACAAAAAATTTCAATGATTTTCCAGCTAAAGGTACTGGTACATTGTACAGAAGATTGTACACGTAAGATTCTAAACTAAGGCCAGGTCCCGGATGCCTAGGAACACATCTGTACAAAAGATTTCATTGAAAATATATTTCTCTAATATCAATTTGTCATCAAATGATCTAATAAACAATCAAATAATTACTTGTATAGATTGGTGAGGAACATTCTGGCCGCGTGAAGATAGGGTTGTTGGCAAAGCAAGGAAATTGACTTGGTCACTAATAATTTATCTTTGGCTGAATCGTAATAAGCTAATGCAGCACTTGGAGAATGCGCTGACAATTTAAAATGACGTGGCAATGATCTGGTATTGTGTCCACCTTCTTGACCCTTTCTCGCCCTAAAACAATATATTATTAAATCTTAACGCACAATACTTTATTATCAAATACTTTAATGTTAATCTATGCATGAAGATGATCATATGATCCATAAAAAAAGAATAAGACTCACGTTGGCGGTGTACCGTTCTGACCACTGCTCAATTCTGTGATATGCATCGCTTGCAATGTTTGCATAGCAGCGCATATCTTACGATTACGACATTCCTCGTAGAATACCAGACTGAAACCGTAAGTTCTGTGCCCATCTTCTTTGGTAAGGACAAACGAATGAAACGTTGGCTCCACCGAATGTTTCTGGGTTCGAAATCTCAAACCACTTGGTAGGCATAGCTTAAAAAAACAAACATTTTTATAATTATTTGTAATATCTTTTAATCTTGTTTTATTAGGGTGAACCCAAAAGTTCGTACATTTATAATGTTTAAAACTTTACATTTACTTTTGAAATTGTTCATTTGAAAATGAATGGAATTTACCATACAAACTGCATGCTCGTCGAATGGGTTCCATGGTACCGAATCCGGATAATGTCCTAAAACTTTGCTCTTGTATGCTCGATCCAATGGTGTGCATTGTAAAGAATCTCCTATAATTTTAAAACAAATACAATGTAAATATAATATTCGTTTAAATTATTTCTTAACATTTAATAAATTTAAATATATATTCTAATTTTATATATCATATACGAAATAAAATTCAAATGTAACGAATAATAGAAATATTTAAAAATATATTCGAAAAGTTTTGACATTTGATTTCGAAATTGAATCCACGGATTTTAAAATATAAAATCGACAACGTGACGAAATTGCAATAGAGGACGATAAAAATCCATCGAAGTATTTCCACTTAACAGACGACGATGAAAGACAAGAGCAACTACTTGAACGACGAGTAAAAAGACCATGACCTGGTTACCAACTTCTTAAATGTGTTTTTAAATAAAATGAACGTGATCTCTCTCTCCTTCTCTATTTCTATTTCTATTTCTATTTCCTTTCAAACTTCATTTGCATCCCTTACTTCATCTCAGTAATATAAACACAAATGAAACTTCATTTATGATACGCGCATAAAATCCCGCCGTTACTACTACGCGAGACAAAACAATTTTTATATTACAAAAAATAATATAATTTAAATTTTACATCACACAAAATTTATTTATTAATTTTTCTACATTGTTTTTTTCTTTACAATCGATTAAAATATAACGAAAAGAAAAAGTGTCTTAGAAGAACTTTGAAATCAAATATTTCGTAGAATTGGCATCAAATATAAATCAAA